AATTCCCCTGACCTGAACCCCATAGAGAATATGTGGGGTATTGTGAAGAAGAAGCTGAAAGACACCAGACCCAACAATGCTAATGAGCTAAAGGCCGCTATTGAAGCATCCTGGGCATCCATAACACCTCAGCAATGCCACAGGCTGATTGCCTCCATGCCACGCCGCATTGATGCAGTAATCCGTGCAAAAGGATTCCCAACCAAGTACTGAGTGCATTAATGGACATTTTCAAATGTTTGATTGTGTTTTGCTGTTATAAATCTTTTTTTTTTACTTGGTCTGAGGAACTATTCTAATTTTTTGAGATAGGATTTTTGAGTTTTCTTAAGCTGTATGCCATAATCAGCAATATTAAAATAATAAAAGGCTTGCAATATTTCAGTTGATTTGTAATGAATCCAGAATGTATGACATTTTTGTTTTTTTAATTGCATTACAGAAAATAAAGAACTTTATCACAATATTCTAATTTTCTGAGACAGTCCTATATATGTGTCAGAAGAAAATGAATACAATAAGCTAAATGTTGCAGAGAATATTGCAAGTAAATGCAGGAGTCTATACACATGTAAATAGAATAAGATAGACAAGAACAGAATGTAAAATATGAAGAATTCCTTAATTTTTAAATCATATTAAATTGAATATATCTGTGGGTTTTGGACTTTAAGAAAATGGAATGGACATTTTTGTATGGTGTTATTTAGCTGACACTTACAATATGTGTAATTAAAACAGGAAACTCAGAAAAGCATGCATGGTACACTTACTTAAAATAAGCTAATTATTGTACACTAGGATTATTTTTTGGTTAGGTTTAATGGCCAAGGTGCAGTTAAAACAATAACAACAATAATAACATGTGACGAAGATGGCTTCGGGCTTTGTATATTGCACATGTTTTATTTTGAAAAGTGTTCCCTTTCCCCATGTCTGTTGCTGTTGATTATTATAACAATAACTCCTTTTTTGTGTTTGGACCAATGAATCCTGATTTGCATATATGTATCCTGGGGGAAAATGTAATACATAAAAATAAATAAAAACTATGTATAGAAACGCAAGACGTTAAATTCAGAATGTGCAAAAAATGTTATAAGAAAAGACACAGAAAGCTAAAGTAATGTTGTATAATGATCATATAAGTAAGTCACTTTAACACATGTAACATTTTTGTATTTATAAGAATGTTTATATTTAGAGTTTGTGCTCTATGTTCACTTATTTATCACACAATTAAATACAATGATCCTTTAAGAGCGTGATAATGCATCCAGAAAATGCAGATGAGACCTCTGAACAGCAGCTCATTTGTGCAGCAGAAAACACACAAAGGCTTGAGTTATATACACATTTATTTGTTATTCTGCATATGCTAATAGACGTAATGGGGAACAATGCTCTACAGAAATGTTGACATACATGTACCATGACAAAGTGTTCTGTGGTCACATAGTGTTCGGACTACTACATGCATACAAAGATGTTGCTTCTTAAAGAAACAGTCTGCAGCTCAGAATGAGAACGCTCTCCAAAAGCTGGAATCAACGAGTGTTAAGAGGCAGAGTACACAGAATAGACGTAAGAACAAACGATGGAGGATCACGCATCTCAGGGAGTTTTGGAAAGCACGCATGAGTGACACGGACAATACCCGTTCTCTCAGAGAAAATAAACCTTTTTCTCACTCTGCACGGTTTCTTTGAGACATCATCCCAAGGAAATATGGCTGATCCGTCCCAATCCTTAGTTTTCTCTACCTGTCCAAACGAAGGACTACTCGAGGACACATGATTAAATAAGGGATGAGAGGTAAAAGTTAACGTACAGAAAATAAATTATGAAAAGGTTATCAACGAACCTAAAGAAAATAAAAAACAATGACGACCACCGCTGACCTCGCATTTGAACCAAAACAAAGAATCTGTTTTCCAAAGATAAGTGGATGAGGGTGTGGATCTTTGATTATTGATTTGGGCGTACAGCATGCTTACAGACAAAAAGGAAATATGGACCAACACTGATTTCATTCCTCCTATTTAAGGGTCTGTATCTTTCAACCTGGACTCTCATTTGTTACCCTAACCCCAAGTGTCTAGTTAAATGGGCTTTAATGTAATTATACGAGGCAATTCCACGCTGATAATGTTTGTTTCTGCAACTGACCGTTGTAGATTGTTATCATACGTGTCTGGACATTATGATCCTACAGAGAAATCTCCACGTTTTGCTTGATATGTTCTCGTTGTTATTGTGGCTTTTTGTTGGAAGACAATGGTTTTAACATGAGTTAGCAAGAAGAGTACCTGTGTCGTTGCAGTACAGAAAGTGTTATCTAAAAGATATTGGCTGGATATTTAGCCAATACCAGCAGTGTGGATGCAAAGCGAGATTTCATAATGAGATTTCTCCCTAAACGACACCTTGTAGAAACAACGTTTAATTCCTCTTTAGGGTCCGATATCAGTAATAACAATCTGAGTCTCAGTCAGAGGCAAAAACAAAAATGTTCTGCTGTACGTCCACGAGAAAACATTAAGTAGACGTATTGCAGAATAGTGCTTTTTACAACACTGTATGAAACCTGTTAGAAAAAGGCTCAACAAAGCCTAAAACTCACTGTTCATGAAACTGAAAAAAGGAAGAATTCAGTGCTTTGTTTTCACATCTAAACTCGGACAGTTGAGAAAGAAGTTTCCAGACCTTGCACTGAAGTAACAGTAGTGCAGAAATACTCAACTTAATAACAGTTCTGAGGCAGTGATCAAGATATACTTAAAGTACTAGAAGAATTTGCAGAATTGCCCATGGGATTACACTGCAGCCTGTTTCATAGACCAATCACAATCACAATGTGATTTAGGGTCAGAAACATGGGGGGAAAAGACTCCAGGTTGAAATATATAGACGTTAAACTCTCCTAGCTTTCCCTTATCCTCACCTTCCCTCCAACCATTGATCACAGCATGGGGAATAATCAGTTTAGTGATCTCTTCCTGTCTGTCTGTGGTCAGTGAAAGCTCTCCTTCCTGCGCACTGACGCGCGGACACTGGATGCTTTTGCACAGATTACCCAGGAGGAGGGAGAACATATTGCCGCTCCTTTTTCCCCGGGAGCCAAGACATCAATGTGGATTTGACAACATCACCTTTTCAAAAAAAAGTACAGAAGTATTTGACATTAGCTGTGAAAGAAAAAACAGAGAATCGATCCAATTGGAACATCAGAGAGTTATAGAAAACCTGAGAACTCAATACTTGTATCTATTACATAAAGACCTGATTTCTCCTATAAAATTAGAATTTTCTGTACAGTGCTATATGAACAAAGCAAAATGACTTGCTACCTTCTCATAAACAGCGGTGTTATGAAAAGGCACGCATCATTTCAACCACCATATGGCAGGAAATTGTGGTCGTGCTCCATTTTGGTTTAGAAAAAATAGAATCACTCTCAACGTTAATTCACAAAAAACATAAAATCCATTTTGTGTGGCCATTGAAATAAGATTATCTTTAATATCTTAGATCTTAATGTAAATCTAACAGCGATATAAAAGGCCCAAAGTGGTCAATTTGGATTTCCCACAGATCAATTTAAGGTCCATTAATATCTGGCATTAAAGCATGATGCCAGACATATCAGAAAAAGTCAAATTGCATTGTGAGATTCTGGTAAATTGTAATTGCCTCATATTAAAGATACAACATTTGAAAAATACAAGTAATTTTCTGCCTGTACACTTACAAGTCCCGTAGACAGAAAATAAAGTGCCACATTTCTTGGCCTGCATAGATTGCAGTTTGCGGTATTGCACATTCCACACCTCTCTCTGTGAGAACAGAACACATGAGAATAATAATAATAATAATAAGAAGAAGAAAACAAACAACGAATAAATCACCCACGTACTTCCTGTCCGTGTTTGTGTGGCGTTCACAAACACACTTCTAGTACTCAGCCAAAGTGTCACGCTGAAACACAAAGTATTCCAGCGATAGGAATAAAAAAAGGCAACAGACAACGGATATTTTCAGTCAGTGTAAAACAAAAGCCAGAAAGAAGACGAGAGAAAGAGATAAATTAAACTCCTTTGGGTTTAAGTTTGACTGAAAATAGATTTGTTCACAATAAAACACAATAAATACAATCCAAGACACGACGGATATACAAAAAAAAATGCCTTAAATGATCAGCAGGATGGGATAAAGTGGCATGGACGAAACGACAGGGACACAATGCAGGAAAAGAAACCATAAAGAAGTCAAACTAAAACATAACTACCGTCATAATACATGTTATACGTTCCTATGCAGCTGAGATAGATGAAGCTGTGCTTGATTTGGTCCGTAGTATCAGAAGGAATATCGTCTTTTTTCTGTGTTCGTCATCCCTTTTGCCAAAAAGATCATTATAGTGTGAAGCATATCTTTGTAGTAATGACCACATCTACTGTGCTGAATAAATAACTCGGTTTCATTGAATCTCACTCACCTAACAGATTTATCTCTACAACCAACCTACGTTTATTCTTAGAGCTACTTTTAGATGTATATCTGAGAGTATAATACGATTTACTGTTAATGGAATCAAAAGGCATGAACAAGGTCTCAAGCCTCGTCGTAACTTCTGAAACCACCGAGTAAATATCTAGATATTTGGCGACTACAGGTGTTTTTTGGAGAGGTGTTTTTGTCCATTGAATATCGACTGAACAGTCGTTATGAAAACCAAAAGCAATAATGTTACAGTTTCATACAGCATTAATCACACGAGAAAACATTACAGGGTCATCATGGGAACACTTTGCATTTCCGCAAAAGGTAATGATATGTTTTTTTTTTTTTTTTTTTAAATAGGTCGCTACGATGCAACACCCGGTCTGAGGGCTTTCAATTTCCTCTTCTCCCTTTTCACATTTGTACCTTCGGAGACATTTCTTCCATCCTGTGCATTGTCATTGCCTTTAGATGTCCCAGTATTTACAGTGGAGCGCTTTCAGCAAACTAAGCACCGTAAAATATATGTCTTTTTTTTAAATGCATGCTTTTTACAGATAAGTCCCTCTGTGCATTTCCTTCTTTTGCTAGAAAAAGGAGACTGTCATTATGTACACCGGGAGGAGAAAAGTGTCTACATTTAAGTTGATGAATTCCCTCCAGAGCCTCCTCTTCAAGCCCCAAAAAGTCTTCCAAATTCTGCACGCAGCACTGCAGTTTTCTTTTTCAGCAATACACAACGACACAAGTAAAAGGGACTTGTCATGCCATGCAAAAATATCTTTCACTACGACTGCACCCGTGTCTTTTCTCCTGTCTGCCGGGCTGAGGTTGCAGTGGGTCTTATTGTCCAATGGGAAGCTTTCTCTACAGTCACATGCTGGTTTCGCAGCTCGGAGACAGGCTGCCATCCCCCGGTATCAGGTGGATATCGGATGTAAACATGTGGTTCTCTACTTTGTGTCCATTCTGGTTGCTTTCAGCCTTCACTTCCTCTCCTTGGGCGCAAGTTTGTGCTGAATTGGGCGACAAAGTTGAAACTGAAGCGCCTGCAACCTCCATCAGATGCTTTTCCTCGTGGTTTTCCGTGGATTGATGTTCATCACCCGGTGGAGTGTCTACCACCAGCCTTTTGGGCGTCAGAGGACATGTTTCCTCCTCTGAAATGGGAAGCAGTTCTTCGGTGCTGGGGATGAGAGGAGACGTCTCTCCGTCCGGGGTCTCGTCCTCCAAAATGCTGGAGCTAATGTCTCCAGGAGACGTAGTGCTGGGCGGAGTCAACGGACCTTCAGCGGGCGAGTTGGGGAAGTTGGCGTTCAAACCTTTTCTTTTGAGAGGGTCATTCCCCCTGGAAGCAGACTCCAAAGCGCTGTTTTTGAAGCTCTCCTCCTTTAGAAGCTCTGATCCGTCACCTGCAGATTCGTAGAGGCCATCTTTGAGTTTGACGCCCTCATCCATGGACCTCACTTTGCTGAGGTCCAGATACGGAGGTGCCCTCGGGTGCCTGAGTCGACACGGCCCAGTATCTTCCTTTTTGTAATTAGAGTCTTTTCTGTCGGACGAGCAGGACTGCACCTCCGTCATCTCCAGCTCTACTTCCTCTTTCAAAGTAGCGTCGGGGCTTTGGGGTCTCCTCGGGGACACGGGCGCCGTCGTGCTCAAAGTGCTCATGGAGCTGTTGGTGTTGAGGTTGCTCAGAGACTGGGATTTGCTCATCTGGTTGTACATCTCCTCCAGTTTCTGCACATTCAGGTGCTGCGGGGTGCGGTTGATCCTCTGCGGACTCCCTGTGGTGTTGACGGTGATGTGTTGAGGCGAATTCTGCATCCCTGGGTTTTGGTTCGCTGGAGATTTCAGGTCTGACTCGGAGGAGGCGTGCCTGGTGGTGCTGCCCCAGCGTTCGGGGGACATGTGGTTCTCCAGGGAGATTTTGTCCTCTCCTTTCTCCACCACCACGTCCATCAGCTCTATACTGCGCGCAAAGGCATCTTTTAGGTTCATTGACACGATGCTGCCGTTCCTCTTGGCTCTCTCCAGCGCCTCCCTCCGCTTTATGGCCTTCTCCTGCCTCTTCTGCTCCTTGTAGAACTCAGAGAAGTTGTTCACAATGATGGGGATGGGCAGAGCGATCACCAGAACTCCTGCAATGCAGCAAAGACCCCCGACTATTTTACCGAGTAACGTCTGTGGGTAAATGTCCCCGTATCCCACCGTGGTCATCGTGATGGTCGCCCACCAGAACGACGCGGGGATGCTGGTGAACTTAGTGGCGTCTTCGTCCTTCTCAGCGAAGAACACCAAGCTGGAGAATATCATGATGCCCATGGCGAGAAACAAGATGAGCAGACCCAGCTCGTTGTAGCTCCTGAAGATAAGATGAGAATCAGAATCAGGTTTACACGTACGAGGAATTTGACTTGGTGTCGTGGTGCATACATAAACGTAAAACAAGAATTAAAAACACAGGTAGAGAACGAGAACAATATTAAAAATGATTAAGTTAGAGATAAGATAAGACTTTGTTCATTGTTGTGCCAGAGTTACAAAAATACAATAATCAAAGCAGCATATTAATAGTAGTACACTAACAGTGCAGTAAAAAGAGCAATTCAATAATTACAGGAAACAAAGATGGTCTCATAATGAATGTCAGTATTTAGTATTTAGTAGTGAAAAAACCGTAGTGGTAGTTACGTAATTGCACGTTTTTAATCGAACATTATTAATAACAATAATAATGCACATGTTATATAGCAGCGAGTGTTTTGTAATGATGGTAATGGTATTTATATAATATATATATATATATATAGTTTTTTGGGAGAAAGGGGCAGGTAATACCAGATTATTTTCTTCTCCCTGATCCTTTTCGGGTACAGTGTGTTTATAGAGACATGTTTTGTACATAATTCTTATACATAGAAAAGACAACTTAAACTTAACTAATGAGCATTTAAAAAAGAGGAATAGTTTAGGTGGAAACTAAAAGGTACCATGGGGTCGGATTATAATTTTCAAAGGGGGGTTCGTTTAGCATGAAACACTTGAAATAACTGAAGGACAAGTTAAACCAGAAAGTAGAAAGAAAGTGAGATCAAAGAAAACTATTTCTGCTAAAAAGTGAGCAAAGATTGAGAGTCAGAGCTAAACATTTCAGATGTGTGTATCTCACACTGCACGGTCACCTTTATTCATGTTTCATTATCTTTGCTTTTCAATGAGTATTTTTAAATGTCATTTCCTAATATGTTTCTTAATGTCTTTCATTTGTGTAAAGCCCTTTGAATTGGCTCGTGTTGAAAGGTGCTGTATAAATAAACGCGCCTTGCCTCACGTTAAGTTGTGCATTCCATGAACGGAACAAATACAAATGAAATATATACCTTTTCAAGGTGAAGCCCAGAGACTGGAGGCCCGTGGAGTGCCTGGCCAGCTTCAGGATCCTCAATATTCTCATGATCCTGAAAATCTGCACCACGCGGCGCACGTTCTGAAACTGCAGCACGCTCTTGTTGGACTCGGTCAGGAAGAGGGTGACGTAGTACGGCAAGATGGCCAGCAGGTCGATGACGTTCAGCGGGCCTTTGAAGAACTTCCACTTGTTAGGAGAGGAGAGGAAACGGAGGAGATACTCCATGGTGAACCAGGCGATGCACACCGCCTCCACGTGAGCCAGCTGAGGGTTATCGCTCGCCTGACCAAACTCATCCGTCACCTGCAAATCCGGTAAAGTGTTGAGAGAGAGAGCGATGGTGGAGAGGATGATGAAGAGGATCGAGATGATGGCCAGAATCTGGAAAAGAGAAGAATAACATGTTAGAAAAGACAACAGGAACATACGATACGATACGATAATGGTCAGATCCATGTGTAACATCTGTTGTGTAATAGAAGCTTCGAATGAAGAACAAAGCGAGTCTTGTCCAAACTGAACGTGTTTACTTTATGTCAGTTTAACAGTTTCCAACAAGAGCGGTGGAAGACGGAGAAATGCACTCGACATGCTCGTATTCATTTCAGAATCATAACAGGAAGGAAGAGCAGGACACATACATGCACTTCCAAATAAAAGCATTTCCTTTGAAACATTATACTCTTAACTTCTGTCAAGAAGCAAATAAACAAATATTTGTACTGCCTTGAATAAAATAAGTTACAACAACTGTAATGGCATCAAGGGTTTCCTCTTGCCACTATAGAGCGGGGTTGACGACACGCAATCCAAAACAATAAGCAGCCGAAGGTTTTCAGTCAAAC